ACCCGCTCTGTGGCTTTGCTTCTCCTGGGTAGGGATGAGGGCTGGGTCTTCCCACCTCCTGGGGACTCACCAAGGACCTGCTGAGCCAGCCCAGGCCCTGACACTCCTGTAGCAACTCTAGGCCCTGCAAAGCCTGGACATCCGCATTTGTGTCTCAGACGCAGGAAAGGGGGCTGGTCCCGGAGCCGGGGCCTGTACTGCTCCTCCCACTTCCTACCTGAAGTTTGGTGCCCACCGGGGACTCCCACCTTGGCCTGGCATTAACAGGATCTGCACAGGCCAAAACAGCATCTCTATCACTTGGCACTTTTGGATGATGTAACCCACTTCCCCTCCTCCCTGCACCCCCCTCCCACCGCCCAACCTTCGTGTCCAGGTATTTTAACGAGAGTGTCAGCAGTTTTGCTTGGGTTTAGAACAGGGATCAGTAAGCTATGGCTCCTGGGCCAAATCCAGTCCCACTGTCTGTTTTTATAAATAAAGTTTTATTGGAACATAGTCATGCCCATTCACTTACATATTGTCTAGAAAGCCTGGAATATTTACCATCTGGCCCCTTATTTGCTGGCCCCAGCTTAGAAGGGACCTTAAACTTGATCTGCTCTAGCTCAGCATTCCAATCACTTGGGTCTGGCCCAAAGACAGCATCCATCTGTAGGACCAGGTATGGTGACCAAGAAGATGGCTAAAGTGATCTTCGTTCAGTGTACGGAGCACAGTCTAAAAATAAAAACAAAAAAGAGAAAGTGCCAGTTTTCCAGGTCCTCTCTGGAACATTGTCTCAGCTGAGTCTTAGGTAAGCATAGGACACCCATCTTACAGGGGAGCAAACTGAGGCTCAGAAAAGCTAAGGACGAATCCTAGGCAGAGAAGGCCGAGGATTGGAAGCTGGGGGAGCAGGGCTGTTGGAGGAATGATGCAGAGTCAGGTGGTGAGGTTGGGGCGGAGCCTGGAAGGGAGCGCCCTGCCAGGCTACAGTCCCCAAAAAGAGGGCTAGTGGATCTGCGGCCACATTTGGACGTAGACGGAAAGCGGAGGGCAGCTGGATGGCTTTAGTGGCCTTGCGTGACAAGGAGGTGGCTGTGTGTGGACAGCAGGAAGTGTTGGCCTGGACACAGTGTGGGGTTGGGCAGGTGACAGGTGAGTCAAGAGTGGCCCTAGGGTTGCCACAGTGATTGACCACCTAGGAGGTGACTCAGATGGCAGGACGGCCCAGGAACAGCAGAAAGGGTGGCTCACGTCCCTGGCTAGGCCCCAGGGTGCCCTTGTGCTGGAGTGGTCCTGAGATGCTGCAGGCATCTTTTTTTTTTTTTTTTTTTTTTTTTTTTTTTTGGT